CTTTGCTAAAATGACAAACCAACATCCTTGGGCCCATATTCATATTAAAGCTGGTAAGAGTCCACATTCCTCGGCATACAATGGACCTTTCACCAATATTGGAAAATGCCTTTGTGACAATATTTGCAAAGAATGGATGGAATTCTCAATGTTGCAAGCACTCAGTGAATAATTTAAGAGAACAATGAATGAATGAATGGGTAGAAACATTTCTGGAGCGCAGACATATTTATGTGCCAAAAGAAATGATGCATATCTAGCATTTTTCTCCAGAGTAGTCAGGAAAGACAGATGAAGTTTAAGTATGAGCATCTTTTCTTGAATGATTTCCTATCAAAACTATTAGAATTGCCAGCCCAGCATGGCAGTTCAAACCTGTAATCCTAGCCCTGTGTGAGGCCGAGGCAGGCGGATTGCCTGAGCTCAGGAGTTCGAGACCAGTCTCAGCAAGAGCGAGACCTCATCTCTACTAAAAATAGAAAAACTAGCTGGGCATTGTGGTGAGTGCCTATAGTCCCAGCTACTCAGGAGGCTAAGGCAAGAGGATTGCTCAAGCCCAGGAGAGCTATGACACTAAGGCACTCTACCCAGGATGACAGAGTGAGACTGTTTCAAAAAAAAAAAAAAAAAAGAAATTGCTTTGTCCTTGGCCAACTAATGATTTTAAGTCATACTCAACTTTTAAATATTATTTGCTTGCTTGCACGTTTGTTTATACAATTTTGTCCCACCCTAACCCCCAAAATAGGATTGAAGATGACTCCAAAGAAGTATATACTATAATAATATAAATAAATTTAAATTAAGGAAAATGAGACAAATTTCAAACTAAAACTTGAAAGATAAGATGAAGTGAGGTTTACGCTTATCTTAAGGTAAGCTTACCTTTATCTTAAGGTAAATGCTCAAAAATAATGACCTTATGTCCTATACTCTAAACAACCAATTCCAACCCCAAACCCCAAGCCTAAATATTCAACATATAAAAGGTAAAAAAACAATTTGTTCAAGAGATATAGTCCTGATATTGATATTAAAAAGGAAACTTTTCTAATCAGTTCTTATGTTATTTAACAAGACATAGTCAGCATTTTCTTTTTTTTTTGAGACAGAGTCTCACTTTGTCACCCTCAGTAGAATGCCATGGCATCATAGCTCACAGCAACCTCAAACTCTTGGGCTCAATGCCATTCTCTTGCCTCAGCCTCCCTGGTAGCTGGGATTACAGGCTATATCTCCCAGCTATTATTATTTTTTTTTTTTAGAGACTGGGTTTTGCTCTTGCTCAGGTTAGTCTGGAACTCCTGAGCTCAACCAATCTACCTACCTTCACCTACCAGAGTGCTAGGATTACAGGCGTGAGACATCGGCCTTGGCATTTATTTTTTTAAAAATTCTTAAACATAGAAGATTTCTATAGACCTGTTTCTTATAAAAATCATCACTATATGCCAAAAGAATTATGGTAAAAGCAATACTGCAATATCAAGTCCACACAGATTGTTTTCTATGTATATATGCAATTTTTGTGTGAACTAAATGTATTTCTCAGTGAGAAGACAGATGCTATTACAACAGACAGGAAAAAAAAGGAGAAAAGTATTCTGATAAACAAACCTTGTAAAGATGTAATAGCCAAAATATTTTCTCCACAGAGGTCTTGCATATCCTTTTTAGATTTACCCCTATACATTCCTACTGTTTTGCTGCTATTAAAAACTAAATCTCTTGGGAAAATAGTTTAATTATTTACAGTTTTTTGCATATCAATCTTTTATCTAGCAGCCTTGCTAAAGTCTATAATTGTTTTTGTTTTTGTTTTTTTTAGAGACAGAGTCTTATTTCGTCGCCCTCGGTAGAGTGCTATAGCGTCACAGCTCACAGCAACCTCCAACTCCTGGGCTTAGGCAATTCTCTTGCCTCAGCCTCCTGAGTAGCTGGGACTCCAGGTGCCCACCACAACACCCGGCTATTTTTTGTTGCAGTTTGATCGGGGCTGGGTTCGAACCCGCCACACTCAGTATATGGGGCCAGTGCCCTACCCACTGAGCCACAGGCCCCATCCCTATAACTGGTTTTAATAATTTGTCTTGTGTTTGAAACTTCTATCTACCATTTGATTTTCTTTATGAAGTCAAAAAGAAAAGTTTCTTCACATTCTCTATTAGCCAAAAACCTCCTAAATTCTTAAAATCCAATATGCAACTTCTAATTCTTCCCATTTTCTCACTCTCATAATTCTAGTAACCCTAATCTTCCATCTTATTACTCCATTCTTCTTCCAAACCTTACCCCATCCAGACTCCACTGCCTTCTATAACATACACCCAGTAACGCCCCACATCAAACACTCATCTACTCTCTTACCAGTGCCCTTGTTTTTTTGTCTTTTTATCACATCTACCACGTAAGGGCTCAAGTTTGGATGAATTTCCCCTGTACCTAGAACTTGGAAAAGTACCTGAGAAAATCCCAATTAGTATTATTACAGATTTTGGGATCTCATCCCAAATGCATCTTCAGTGTGCTCCGCAACCCTATTATACACTGCTTCCTGAACTTTCCCCTTCCCTTTCCCTTGGTCACTATTCCAAACTTTCGCCACTTTCACTTCCACTTAGGCACATAAATCTCATTTTACTGATACCCCAAGGTTTGTAATTTATGCCCCCAAGGAACTAAACTACTTATAGGTCCCTAAATACGACTTGATTTTCTTTGTACACGCTGTTCCCTCTGACTGGAACACCCTCTTTTAATTTGTTCAATCAGAAAACTTTCACTTATCCTTCAAACCTCACTTTCTCACGCCCACTATCCTCTGTACCTCTCTTTCACCTTTCCAACCCAATTGAAATCTCTTATATAAAATGCACATCAATTATATAACAGAAATATTTCGCTAAAAGGATAACTAAACAGCTCTACTTTTAATAATTCCAAATCGATAATGAACTTAACAAATTTAAACTATATACTTACTGAACAGTACAACTGACACCATGCTAAATGTCATTCTAGTTCAACAATCAATCTGAATGATGATCAAGACCTAAATAAACACTGACAAAACGTTTATCACAAATATCTTAGGAACATAAAACTAGCCAGGTGCAGTGGCTCACATTTGTAATCCTAGCCCTTTGGGAGGCCAAGGCAGGAGGATTGCTTGAGGACAGGTGTTCAAGACATAACAAGATCTTGTCTCTACAAAAAATAAGAAAAATTAGCCAGGTATGGTACCATACACCTACAGTCCCTTGCTACTTGGAAGGCTGAGGCAGGAGGACACTTGAGCCCAGGAGGTCATGGCTACAGTGAGGTAGGCTAACACCAGCCTGGGTGACAAAAGTGAAAATCTATGTCAAAAAACAAAAAAGAAAGAAAGAAAAGCTTACCAACAATAAAACCTAATCACTGCCCCTTCAAAAAGAGGTATGTACTTCTGAATGAGCATTAAAACTGCAGAGGCCATATAACAGTAAATGAAAAATCACATACAAAATATACCCTTTTTCTAAGTTAAAACTAGCTAAAACAGGCAACACTCATACCCTCTGTGGGTAGGGTGCCAGCCACATACACAGAGGCTGGCAGGTTTAAACCTGGCTGGGCCAGCTAAAGCAACAATGACAACTATAATAAAAAAGAACAGCTGGGCATTGTGGCAAGTGCCTGTAGTCCCAGCTACTTGGGAAGCTGAGGCAAGAGAATCACTTAAGCCCAAGAGTTTGAGGTTGCTGTGAGCTGTGACACCACAGCACTCTACTGAGTGCGACATAGTAAGACTCTGTCGACAAAAAAAAAAAAAAGAAAGAAAGAAAAACTAGCTAAAATAAAAATAGGTATACTCCAGGAGAATATAAGGAACTAAACACCAAGTTCAGGATGATAGTTAAATGGAGACAGGCCAAGGGATGGATTAGGTTAGGGAACTAACGGTGCAGTTAGTTTATTTACCTAGCTTCTGTTTGGGTTGGTGGGATCTCACATTATTTTTAAACAGATAGACAGATTGTTGGGTAGATAAAAAGAGGAAAGAAATGGAGAGAGAGAGGGAGGGAAAGAAAGATTAGAGGGAGGAAGAAAGACAGATTTAAAAAAAGAACACAGATAAAAGTAGACCAAGCATGGACTAATACAAAGAACATGTTATTACCCAAAGATTATTGAATTTAAAATGAGGTGGTTGGGTGGTGCCTATGGCTCAAGGAGTAGGGTGTCAGCCCTATACACCAGGGGTGGAGAGTTCGAGCCCGGCCCCAGCCAGAACTGCAAAAAAGTAAAATAAAAATAAATAAAATGAGGTGGCATGAAATGATGTGACATGAATTAAATGAAAACAAAAACTGTTCACAGCATGCAGGCTAATACCCAACCTATAAGCTCTGGGTCAAACTCAGAAGTCACTCATCCAGGTCATGGTTGTTTTTTTTTTTTCTTCTTCTTCTTTTAATTCCCTGACACTTGGAATTGTACTTCAAAAGGCAACAGGTTCTCCTGTAAACACGAGGCCTTCTGCCATTACCAATGGACATGCCGCTCTGAAAATGGACCAGTGAATAGGATAAATGGAAATCTTGCAGATTCCCCTGCTTTCTCTGGAATAGGGATGACAATTCCCACAAGCCTTTGATAGGCACTGGGTGATTCTTCATTCAGTATGTATCAAGTGCCAACCACATGTCAAATGTCATGAGAGGCACTGAGATTCTTCAGACTTAATATTCGAACAGTCTTAAAAATTACCTAAGTCCAGTCTACTTCCTTCCAGAAAGCCTCAAAATCAACATATTCCTCAACTTCAAGAATCAAAATAACTTTTCAGGCCCTTTATTAGGCCATTTACTTAAACAGACAAATACCAAAGCAGCTTACTGATAAAGTAAGGTTATGAAGACTCCCAAAGATTAAAAGATATCAAATCTCTATTATGAAAATGGGGGGGGGGGAATTGCTTCTTGAACAGATAAGATTCCTTGAGTATGTTGCTCTTTTACCTGCTATCTCCAAAAGTAGGTTTATGTGATCTCCTTCGGCCAGCTTCACAAATCCAACTTGATTTCCAAAAGTGCCAATCCCTTGAAAGGGCAAAATCAGATGTTTTCCTTGAAGGATTTCTTCTATGAATGGTTTCAATTCCAAGAGAGCATCAATACCACTAGTAAGAGACAATATATTTTTCAGTAACACATTAAGTTATACACAAAACTAAATAAGAAACAAAGTACTCAGCTTTAGAAAGATAAATTAATTTTTATATTCACACTAATTATTTTAAAGCTCACAATACCTTCTATATCTAACCTATATGAGTAAAACTAATATCAAGTTCTAACAAAAACTATAGAGAATTATAACTAACCTAATTATAATTGCTATAAAGAAATGAAAGTAGATAGTATTTTATAGTTCACAAAAAACATTTTAATCAAGGAAGTATTGCATAGACAACTAAAAAACATAGCACTTACAAGACCTATATGAATGTTATAAAAAGTTCTAGATTCTTGATAAAAGTAGTAATACTTACTTGTATGGAATTTACTATTTATGAGGTACCAAAACTTAATATATATTATCTTTTAAAATATAACATGCTCTATAATAAGATAATTTACTGTACTTGGATTCAAATAAAATACAAGTATAATTACCCCAACTGCTAGTGTGTAAGTTTGTTATGGCTGTTTCAACCCATGCGATTATAGGGCTACTGGGTGTTTCAAATGTTTTATTTTTCTTTATAAAAACAAATGTTTATCATATTATTGAGTAGACATTATCATATTTTGAATATTTGGAATTTAGGATCTGTTACTTTCAGCTTGAAGAGAATATTAGCATAGGTACTCGATTATAAGAAAAAAATAAACTCTCGCTAGAGGGCAGCAGTTACTCAAAAAAGAAATAAGCACATTCTTAAAGTATGGAGATGGCTTTAAAATACCTTCCAGTGAAGTTCCATTAATGTAAATTACCTTGATCTATGATGTGTTCATCAAATATTTGAAAAAGAAATAAGGTATTTTTCAAAATATTCCATATTTTTAATTAGTGACTGATTTTCTGATGACTTTCATATTGCCTTATTCCTCTGTCATAACATCATGTACAATCCTTTAGAATGGCCATGTAAGTATCATTTCTTACTGCACCTCCAAATCCACATTCTAAATCCGATCTTACCTACCCATACTTATGTTCATTCAGAAAGACACAGTGAACACATGCCTAATTCAATATTGTCCTTCACTGTCTACTGTGAGTTAAATCATGTGACAACAGCCACTTCTGGCTTATACTTCATAAATTGGGGGAATTCAAGATATTTATTTTAATGAAACTATATGCTAAAGCAGGTCTCAAGAAAGGTCAAGATTTTTCAGAGATTGTGAAGTCTATATCATATTTTTCTTTAAAGAAATATAAACGATCTAAACTCAGTCCAATTTCTCAGTTTTCTTAGTCTTTTTCTTTTTTTTTTTTTTTTTGTCCAACTCCTGGGCTCAAGCAACTCTCCTGCCCCAGCCTCCCAAATGCTGGGACCACAGGCCCCTGCCACAATGCCCAGCTATTTTTTGGTTGCAGCCATCATTGTTGTTTGGTGGCCTGGGCTGGATTCAAACCCGCCACCTTAGGTGTATGTGGCTGGTGCCTTAGCCACTTGAGCCACAGGTGCCAAGCCAGTTTTCTTAGTCTTATAAATAAATAAATTTGTCCCAGTGAAAAGCTATTTACTCACAGAGTGAAAATGGATCACAATATCTACGAGGAAGTATCAATGACTTTCAAATTCTTTTAAGTAGAAAATCTTTTCAAGAGTGATTTGTGGAAAGACTTCTATATGATAAAATAAGTAAAAGTATGTGCAAGTTAGAAAAAGAATTCTGAAACTAGAGTTCAAATCCAAAGGCTACATTTCAAATTAACTCAAGACAGCCATCTTGCCTAATCAGCAGCTGAGTTTCGTCAAGTATCTATTTCTATTCCTTTCTTCTACACTGTGAAGACACAAAGGACCTTAGGCAACATGAGAAATTCATGATTTAAAAAAAAGTCTCTGCATATTCCATGTCCAATCTATTGATCAATACTTCATTAAACACCTAAAATTTTATATTAAATTTTAAAAAGAATAACTATAAGAGAAGAAACTGACAATCTAGGTGTCTAGCATATTTTACAGCATAAAAGATAAACATTATAACTGAGGGACTTTAAAAAAAAAATCCCTCACATAAACAATGTCTTCTCAGAAATTCAATCAATTTCACTATCACTATACAGCTGCCCAAAGTGAGGCAGCACCTTGAATCTCACCATCATTTGAAAATGGACACCTCTGCCCCTCCGGAATGCCAGCGGGCCTCATCCAGTCAGTTGCAGGCCTTAAGAAAAATAACTGAGGTCCCCTGAGAGAGAAGGAATTCTGCCTCCAGACTGCCTTTGAACTTGAGACTACATTAACTCTTCCCTGCCAGACTGCCCTGGAGATTTCAGTCTTGCCAACCCCCTCAATCATGTGAGCCAACTCCTTACATAAATCTCTCTGCATAAAGATGCACACGTCTTCACAGACAGATGTGGATAGAGATCTATATAGATGCACATCCCGCCAGTCCTTTGGAGAACCCTAACACACCACTCCAACTCACACAGACAGACTCCTTTCTCCTGGCCTGTAGTCTTCTTACACCACATCTTCTTTGGCTTCTCTTTTTTCAAGAACATGAGAGCATTTGTTTTTTCTATTGACTGGCAAAGTGATCAGCCAAAGTAAGTAAAGTTTCTGCTTCTCTTTGCCTCTTGCAGAGTGCTCAAGGCTGCTCTGGGGTAGATCAGCTTGGACAGATCAAAATATTGATCTGTAAAGAGATGAGGTTCTACTGTTCCAAAAGACGTAACTATAATGATCATAATGGGGCTGGAAACTTAGAGTTATTCATTTATTTGTTTTTCTCTCCTTTATTTTTCCTTTTCTTCTCTCCCTTCCCAATTCAAGCCTTCTTCCTCATTCCCTGAGGAGCCATACACAGGTTGAAAACAGAAGTAACCTGCAGTTCTTTCTGGCTTTGGTTTTCCAAAGAGCATAAGCTTGATCATAAGACAGTGGGTTACACAGGAGGTAACAAGGAAAGAGAGGATTTAAGTACAGATGCAGTGTCCCACAGAATTGGGGGGAGAGCAAGGTTTCTCCACTCCAGATTAGATAGCAGCAATCAATGACTCATACTCAACATTTATGGCACCTCCTAGCATGGGGGTGAGGTGGGGTGGGATGGAGTAGACCAAAGTGAAACTGAAGTTGTCCAGTGGCCTCGTAAACAAGCAGCTCTAATAGCTAATAATAGAGTACCTGATGTGTGCCAGGCCCTATACAAAAAGCTCCTACATGTATTGGTACTGTTACTTTCTCCATTTATTTAAAAGGTAAATGATTTGCCCAAAGTCAGGCAGCTAATCAGAAGTGGATGTGTCATGGTTCCAGAATCTTTACCTAGAATCCTAACCTAAATGGCCAAACTCCAGAAATGTTTACATAATGAGCACAGGCAAAATAATTATACAACTAAGGGCTACCATTTGATAACACTGACTATCAATTGAAACAAATTTTGATAAACAATACTTTTTTAGAATTTCAATGCCGCTTCAGGTTCTGCTATATTTATTCATATTAAAGTAATAACTTGGAAAGTAATATTCAAGAACGTCACATTACTCACATGTTTATTTCATCTTCACTTAATAATTGCATCACTAGCAGGGTAATATGAAAGGAACCATCGCCAGCCATTGCTTTAGCCAGTCGCCGATCTTGTTGTATTATTGCATTTTGCAGGATCTTAATTCCTCTTGTAATCTAATCTCACACACATACACACAAAAGACCCAGAGATTAAGTAAGCAAAATTTCTTAATGATAAATATAAATCGAGAAGAAAAATAAGCAACAACCAACATTAGAACAATGTCAAGACTCTTCCACCAAACAATGCTTACTTGTCTACTTGTTCTCAAATATCCTAGACAGCTAAACTGAACAGTTTAATAGGATGTATAAGTTTTTTAAAAATTACACAATGCCTGTCCATCTTAAAAGGACCAAGCCCAACACCCTTATTTTGCAGATCAGATCAGTGGTTGAATGGAAAAAATCTCACTGGTCATGCATCTTTTCAGAAATTTGTACTTGGAATACACAATATGACTCAATAATCATGATCTTTCCTAAGAAAAAGGCTTTATTCTTGCCATAGAAAGGTCAAAACCAGCAAACAACATTCCATTTCTGTTAGAAGCAATATTTACTTGTCACCAAGCGAATGTGTTTGAGAACCCATTCCTCATGGCCTTTAAGATTTTTTTTAGGACAATAATTTCAATAGGAATGATTATAGTCATTTTTCCAGAAATGTGCAGAGGGACATTACCAATAAGAGAGTTGCAAAGAAGCTCAAATGTGTACTTTAGGTGGCTGGGGCCGGTGGCTCAAGCCTGTAATCCTAGCACTCTGGGAGGCCCAGGCAGGTGGATTGCTTGACCTCAGGAGTTTGAGACCAGCCTGAACAAAAGCGAAATGCTGTCTCTACTAAAAATAGAAAAAGTAAGGCAAGAGGACTGCTTGAGTCCCAGAGTTGGAGGTTGCTGTAAGGTATGACGCCATGGCACTCTACCCAGAGTGACAGCTTGAGACTCTGTCTAAAAAAAAAAAAAAAAAAAGGAAAGGAAAAGAAAAAACTGTGTATTTTAGGAAAATTGGTCACAGCCTATATTCAGGTGAAACTCCCAATGACCTGGTCACCCACCTGCCTTCCCTTCAATACCAGCCCCTCTGAAACCAGGAAGGGGAATGATGTATCCTCCCTCCTCCCCTTTCAGTTAGATCCAATTCTAATCAACTTCTTAATGTGAGTGGACTAGAAAGTGGTTTGAACTTGAAATAGCAAACCCAGACAAAGAGACAGAAAAGAGAGCACACAGAAGCCCACGGGACAAGCCCCACGGCAGCAGAGTGAGTGAGGAAAGAAGAAGCTCCCCCCCAACCCCCACCCCACAGCAGAAGTGATACCCATAAAAAAGCACAGACAGGAAAAAAGTGAATCATGAGCACAGCAGACTGCCCTGATACTAGAGTGGCTGTTTTATCGTGAACAATGTTCCCATTATCTGTGGAATGTGATTGGGCGAATCACAAGATCCTGTCCTATGATCTGACTTCCCATTAACAAAGGCTGTCTCCTTTGAGGCTGGGTGCGGTGGCTCTCGCCTGTAATCCCAGCACTTTGGGAGGCCGACGTGGGTAGATCACTTGAGTTCAGGAGTTGGAGACCAGCCTGAGCAAGAGCAAGACCCCATCTCTACTAAAAACAGAAAAACTAGCCAGGCATTATGGTGGGTGTCTGCAGTCCCAGCTACTCCGAAGGCTGAGGCAAGAGGGTTGCCACACACTCAATCCTGGGCAACAGAGAAGACTGTCTCAAAGAAATAAAAATAATAAAAGTAAAAATAAACAACAGCAGTAGCAACTAAGCCCTATTATGAACTTACTGGGTTCTCAGTACCACAGTAAGCATTTTACACGCATTAGCTCAATGAAGCTTCTCAGCAATCCTATGAAGTAGATATTGGTATTTCAGAGTTTTTTCCAGATGCAATGGAAAGCTGAGATTGGCTCACAGGAATAAGGGAGTAACTGAGGTGAATCCAGGTACACAGGGGAGGGGCCAAGCCCAGGGTCAAGTATTTATATCAGAGGTGCTCAAAACGTCAGGCCTCAAAAAAATACGATTACATCTTCAAAACTTAGCTGGTACAATCATTATTCTGGTTTAATTTATGATAAAAAGGTGGCTTGGGATAAAAACTTAGCTATACATGCATGGGTATAATACACTGTGATGTAAATTAAGGGTGCTAGACTCAGAAATCCTGGCTTTTAACCCAAGGTCTGCCAGAGGTACAACACCATACAAAATCAACTATCCCAGGATCTCAAGGATGGTTCAACATACGTAAATCTATAAATATAATTCACCACATAAACAAATTAAAAAACAAAGACCACATGATTCTC